GTTGCGTCACGATTTGGCAAAGTCATCCTAGAACTTGGAGGGAACAATGGTGCCTCAGTTAAATTTTATTATTACTATGAGCTTTCTGACATGGTTTCTTTGAAGCATCTATCGTTATGCCCGACGCTGATCTCTCTCTTGCAATACCCGCCGTATTCTTTGGAGCTGTCGGTACAGCGGGCCAAAGATGTACCTCGACACGAAGGCTCTACTTACACCGAAAGGTTGCCCCTGAAGTTCTCGAACGCTTACAAAAACTCTACAAGTCCGTTATTCCTGGAGATCCCCTTGCTGCCGATACACTCCTTGGGCCATTGCATACTCGTTCAGCTATCAAAACCTATTTAACCGCTGTAGACTATCTTCGCAGTTCTGGAGCTGAGATCTTAACAGGCGGAAGCAAATATAGCGAAGAAGCGCTAGCACCCGGAAACTTTGTCCAGCCAACAATCGCGATACCTAAATCACCTGAACCCAAGGATCGCATCTGGTCGACAGAAACGTTTGCGCCTGTCTTGAACGTTGCTATCTTTGATGAATTAGAGCAGGCCATTGAATGGAATAACAACGTCCCACAGGTATGACTGCGTTAATTTTTCCTCTCATTCAAGCTCAGCCAGCGTAGGGCCTTTCTAGTAGCCTATGGACTCGAGATTTGAGGCACCTTGGTAAATGGATGGGACCGAGCGGCTCTGACGCAGGCATAGTTAATGTGAGGCGTAATCTCAGGACCCTCATTTCTGTCGCAATCTCTAAACTGCTCCATATTTTCAACAATCGTAGGTTAATGTTGGAACCAGCGGCGCCGAGATCGGGGCTGCGTTCGGCGGAAATAAGGTGAGCAGTCGGGTGTTGTAGCGAGTCGCAGCGATTGATTCAAACGTTTGTTACAGAGCACCGGCTGGTAAGATATTAACACGTTTCCTCGCCTACCGTTCTTGAGCTGATGGCTGCATTTGTAGGGGACGAGAATCTGGGGGTGACTCTTGGAAACAGTACGTTCGCTGGAGTGCTTGTACAGGTGAGTCTTCATGCAAAGAGTACTTGTACTTTGTTTAACACTGTCACAGTTAATTACTCCGATGCGGCACCTCTTGCTCAAGGCGTTAATTTTGCCGCTTGAGCTATTCTAAGGTTCAAGCGCTCGTTCAGCGATGGAACCTTGGGTTTATCATAGTACAGGAATCCGGAGTCGACTTTTGAGGATGTCACTTCCTCATGCACAAAATATCTACTCGCGGCCACGAGCTCCCATGTTTGTAGGTTGATCCGAATCTGACGATCGATCGACTACATTACTGTATTTATAAATAAGCCGAGCACCTGCATGGTGAGATGTTGTCGTCAAATCCAGATGGTTGGAAATCGGTAATAAACTAGAACTAATACTTGTGCGGAAAGGGGATAAGGAAAAGAACAGGAGCAAATTTCAGCGGAAATTTCTCAAAGGGGAAATAAATTGATTTCTTGGACCGTAACCTGGAAATGTTTCAGACGAAATCTTGTCTATTAGATGTACGGACGGCTAGATCTGATGGCGACCAGTTCTGTAACAGGGTCCCGAAACGAAAGGGTTTGAAAGGACCTCCACCCACAGTTAAATGCCGACGCCTGGAGTACCCGGTGGGTCCATTTAATGACCATACCAACTTGTGTTCTTTTTCTTTGACCACCAACTGTGTCCTTACCCACCCACTCTTTTCTTCTCGACATGTCAACTCCTGATGATCTACCATGGCCGGAACTTGGCAACGTCTCTCGCGGGGCGACGCGAGGGAATCAAGGGCAGAAGGGAGTGCTTGGACCTTCAGACAGAGATGGTCGATGTGTCCTTCAACTTCGTGTGCAACCTGGCGTCCTCGCCGTCAAGTTGAATCGCCAATCCAGCGAATGGTACCGGACCCTTGACAACGAAGTCAACCGTGCACTCAAGATGACCAAGACCTACTGGCGGAAAGCCCGAAGACGTCAAGATTACGATGCGCGTGCCGACCAAGATCATATGGAACTACATGAATGGCTTCAACAACTCAAGGATAAGACCATGTCTCATCTCGAACTTCTCATGCAGAAGGGCGACATCCAAGGGCCTCCCTATGTTATGCCTGACGACATCGAACTATCTTTCCTACGAAAGTTTATCGAACGTCAAGCAGCCGGCATACCGCACAATCCCCGTCTCCGCAATGGTATACCGGGGGAGAATCCATACGTACCACGCGACCACTCCGCCGATTCTTTCACCCCAGAACCGTCAGATCAAAGCTTCTTGGATCATAGACCTGGCACAGGTGGGTTCGACTGCTTCTGTCTATCTTCGAGTATTCACATGGGATAATCTTAATAGGTGATGGCTCTTTGGACCGAAACTCTGCGTCCCCTTCATTCAGAACTCCAGAAGGCCTTTCAGCCGACGCTGCATCTTCAAGTAAGTCGGCTTGTACTTGGTGCTTCATGCCACCCTTATGTATGGTTCTCAGAACAAGCACTTGCAGCTGCTCGAGCGTCTCTAATGAGAGCGCAAAAGGATACCCAGGATGCATTCATGAGATATACATCATGTCTCGATATTGAACGGCAAGCTCGACAAGCGGTTGCTTCAGCGGAGAAGCGGAGGGATGACATAAGTAAGTCCATCGCCTGTTTTAGGACGGAGATTCGTGTCTAAAGCCGCTTCCAGTGGCCATCCTCCTCTCTCAAAATCAGAATCAAAATCAACAACTGAACCTACGTATGTTCTTGATTTCTTCAATTATCGATTTAGAAACTTAATACATCTGGTAGTTCCTGAGACCCGTTCACGAAAGTCATCACTTTCGGGCGATGACAGACACAGTCCTCCCCGTTATCCACTCGAGGTAGATAGCAACGCCCATGTCATGATCATCATTAACATTCCGAGTAGGAGGCGAGACATACTGTCGACCCCTTCATGGCCCGTGTTGAGAAGCAGATGGAATGGCCTTCTGATGGACAGGGTATCTACGGCAGCGAGGCCGTTCCACATTTAGATGTAAGCGCTTTCAACTATATTGACGAAACATATTTCTAAAGATGGCCTTTTAGGACTCCATGAGGAGTAGGAAACGACAGTGGGACGAGCTGCAGCCACATAGTAAGATCGCAGTTATGCAAACGTCGATTTTTCACTTAGAACATTCTCCAGGCAATGGCTATCCATGCGAAGTTCCTGTTGGTACCGCCAGCTACGACAGCATGGGTTATCGGACAGATCGGCATTACGATTCCCAGGATATACCTGGTCTTCCTGCGCGGAAGCGGATGCATCATGCCATGATTCCCGGTTTCGATGTTATGACTGGCACACCCCTACAGACGCAAAATATGCCTCTGCAATCATAATTCTCCCTCCGTCCTATTCACACCTTACGGATTCCTTAATTGCATCTTCCCTCCGTCCCGCCAACATTTAATTTTATTACCTTGCATATCCAATTTACCCATCCTGTGTTTGTTCGAGGCTAAAGCTCGACGTTCATCTGTATACCAAACCAATTAATGATAGTACTAATGCCCAACCTCTGTAATACCTGTTGAATCATGTCCAACTCTTGATTAACAAACTTGATTTCCGTAGAATCAGTCTTCATTGTGATTAAGGATGTTGATAGACAAGGTTGCGAAACTCAACTCTGCATCAGTCGTCGGGATGCAGAGGGAACGAAAAGTGATCTAACATTCAATCCGTGAACACGACATCATTCCATCGTTCTGACAACATGTCGTTGTCTCATTTCAGGGAAGGGCAGTGTGGGTTAGTTACAGTAGCTCTTCCCCACAGGGTTCCTGGAAGCTGTCTTCGGAATCAATGCGGTTGAAGCTTTGTGGAGAGATTAATCAAAGTTAATAAGGGTGACTATGCTAAGCGGGACAGTTACTGTCCAGTAACATTTAGGCGCTCATTCGTGGGCTCTGCTCATCACTACATCAAGTACCCTAATGGGACCGCCTTGCTATAAAGGGCGGCATTGCGATGACTGTTGAAATGAACTTGATTAAAGTCGACATCCGAGGAAAGCTTTTTCATAAACCTTACGTTCAAATGACTGCTTGGAAATACTAAATAAGGGGGGCTGGCAAATAACGTTCCCTCAGGTGTTATTAATGGTTTAGGCCCCTTACGCACTAAGCGTAGCAAAGAATAAACCACTCAGTCCTGGTCCTGTCGTGTGGCTCTACCTGTGATTCATAGCTACAAATTACAGGCCAAAAGAGAAATACTAAACTTGGATTGTGGGTGCAGAAGCTACAACTATTCGCATTAACTTCTCGTGATTGATGGTATGGAACTGCTGTCAACAAACTTACTTCTGATCCCAGCATCTGAGAAGAGGATATTCTTGTCATCAAAGAGATCTAGTAAAGTGTAATTTTAGACTTTATGTTAGCAAGCACTGCTCAGTCTTCGAAAGCGAAAGTTAAGTAGGGCGTTAGAACCAATCTGTGGTATCAGTCATCTCAAGTTCCAAGCCGTCAATTGCATATCTATTTTCCGTGATTATCTAAACATTGTTTAGCGGTGGTGGAGATATGTCATTAATCGCATGCCTACCACTTTAGAATAAATAGAATACAGAGGAGTTGCTCCAGGAGCTCGGCTAAATCGGTAACAACACTCGCTTTAGAGTGGAACAGGGTAGAGTATTCGGCGTTAAGCAGCCGCTGTGAGAGCTGCTTTTGCGTGAAGTCTTGGCTTCTGCGCAGCTTCCCTATCTCGAGAAAGGGTATTTAATCGAGAAAATCTTATTCAGCCAGATGACAGCATAGTATAGTAGCTCACGCTTCTCTTGAAGATCAACCTATCTTTTCTGACTTGACAAAAGTTTGTGTCGTCAATAATTTCAAGCCAAGCTTCGTTTGACTTTTGGATTTTTGCAGCCTGAGGAGCGGGAAAGGCTCTCAAATAATCTGCAGGCGTCTCAGAACAATAAATTAGAAAAATTTACAGCCATGAATGCACGATTCGCATTTCGCCTTCATGCCCCATGGCCCAGCTGGTTAAGGCGTCCGACTGTTAATGTTCTCTCATCGGGAAATCGAGAGTTCAATCCTCTCTGGGGCAGTTTATTTTACCTTTTAGGACATTCAAAACATATTCCCAACGTTACAAAACTACCATCTGGTCATCTGAGCAAGGAACCGACCCAAAATAGATGCTGTGGGAGGACGGGAAGAAAGTTGGGCCTTGAAATCTATAAATACGCTAGCCAAACCTTCCTACATCTTATTGAGGCCAGAAAACAACCAAGGAAACTGAGATCCAGCGTTAGAAACGTTGGATTTGGTTTAGGCGCTCGCAATTTGGGTTTTTGATGGAAATGATCCGTTAGTGTCACATAGTGTCACGCCATGGTGGGTTGATCAGTGATGGTGAAGGAGGAGAGCTGAGCTTATGATCGGACTTCGCCAGAGGTGGGGCTGATGTTCCAAAGAACACGAAGCAAGTCATTGCAAAAAGCAGGCGACATAATAACAAAATGATACATAGTGGTCGAGATTGTGTTGAGGTATGAGTGTATGGCAGATGCAGGAACAAGAATAGCCCAAATGTCAAATAATAATGCAGTAAACACGACGAATCTAATTCAAATAGCCACGACACTTGGCAGAACCACATAGACAAGGGATCTTGTCTTGCTCGAACGGGAAATGGTAATCTGGAGTGGATTCGTCAAGCCAGGTAAAACAAATAGAATCGGAGTAAACATACCGTAAGTGATCTCGTCACCCAACTCAATCTCTTGCTTCGCGTAGATAACAATCTTCTTCTCCCCGCTGATGTTAATAATCTTTGCAGTACAGTTGGGATCACAAGAATGGTTGATGAGACGTCTAATAAAGAGATAATTTCGTTATTCAAAAAAAAAAAAACAGGGAATGCCGTGTAATTGACGTACCCTAGGTTGCCTTTCTTGGTTGCATCTACCACGAGATCTTCATCGATTCTGAACAGATAGCTACTTCCGATCCCCTGCCTCTCATACGTCTTCTCTCTGTTCTCCGCAACTTGAGCCCGTATGATCTCTCCCACATACTCGATCACCATTTCCCCTCGCGAGATCTTCTCCATCGCATAAAGACCCCAGTCGTGAATAGGAGATCGAGCAAAGCGAAGATGTTTCTTTCTGGTCTGAAGTTGATTGAACTTGAAGGTCAGCTCACTAGCCGTTTCGCCCTTCGAAAGTGCTACAGCACGTTGGACTTGATTGATCTCTTCGAGTCCCTGAGCTCGCCGTCGAGCATTGGCACGATTAGATCGCGACGATTCAACATGTTGGACTGTAGGCTCATCGACAACAGGAGGTGCGGCGTCTCCAGTAGTAGCAGCCCTAGCCTGGTACTGCGCGACATAGGCTGCTTTCTCAGCATGGGTGATCTTGTAGTAGCCCTCTGTGCGAGCGCTGCCAGTGATGTGTTTTCGGAACGTGGGGATATCGGCTGATGAAGGCGGTGGGGGGATCTCTTCAACCTCCGGATCCTCACCAGATAGGGCGAGTTTGGCAAAGTACAGGTCTTCGTCGTCCTCGCAAAGGCCGGATACGTACGGATCTGGTGGAGGGGATGGGGGAGGCGTAATAGGCCGTTTCCGACGTCCTTTAGGTTCTCTGAGAGGTGATGGTGAACGCGAAGGGGTCACTGAAGTCCGCTCGAGGCGCAGCTCTTGAATGGCGGGTGATTCAAACGAGTCAAGGTCTTGAAGAACTACTTGATCAACTTTCTCCAGCAGCTCCAACGCTTTCTGCGCCTTCTTCGACAGTTTCTTGACTTTTAGCTGTACCACCTTGGCCTTCTTCTTGACAGGCTCTTCCTCTTCCTCTTCGTCTCGATCTTCTGAAGCAGGCCTCTTTTTCGCAGCTACAGAGTCTTCAACGTCCTTAATCTCAACCTCCTCCTCTTCTTCCGATTCCAAGTCCTCTTCATTGATAATTCGCTTTGACTTCTTCCCTGAAGGTACTACCACGTCTGTTTTCCTCTTTTTCTTTGGCCTTGTTTCATCCTCAAAATCGTCGACCTCCACTTTCTCCTCCACGGGCGCCTCTTTCTTCTTCTTAAACGATAGACCTTTCAGGCCTTTTTTCTCCATCAACCTTTCCTGCGCTAAAGCAGGCGGTCCTTTACTTCGCTCCTCCAAGATAATGCGACTCAGCTCCAAGGATACCAACTGATCACCGACATCTTTCTCCAATGACAACTTGAGCTCTTCCAAGATCAACACTCGTGCATCATCTACAAGCTCCGTTAACGTCCATTGTGTCTTCTCTACCTTTTCTACGTAAACCGGGGGAGGGTGAACGGAAAGGGTCACAGACTGAAAACCAAGCTGTTTGCTGGCCAAAACCATAGTCCGTCGAGCAGCGCCAGTTGCTGAGAAGGTGACATAGATTCCTGTATGATCTCGTAAAACCTATTATTATCTCGAATAAGTCCAACTTTGTTAAAGGAAGAATCTACACATACCTTATCAACAGGAAAACCATCGAAGAAATCCTTCACATCTTCATCCTTCGCCAAAGCGACAAGTTGGGCACCTCCTTGGACCTTGACATGATCGCAACCGCTTTTCGCCAGTTCCTTTGTAAGTTGCAACTGCTCCTTTTCCCTATCCGCGGCCGACTTTGGTTTTTGCTTCTGCGGTAGTGAATCGCGATGTTTCCGCATACCACCGCTGAGTTCATGAGGATCAGGAGACGAAGAGCGAGATATGTTCATAGGAGAGCCTTCTCGCTCGTTATCATCAGTGACGGACGCGTATTTGGTCGTCTGGAGAGCATTCCGACCACGATTCGCTGTGTTTGAAGTGGTGGGCTTGGTACGAGCAAGAAGGGTGGGTTTCTTGTCCTCTTCCGCTAGAACTCTGGTAGCTCGTCGAAGGTTGGCTATGACTGTATCGGCTGGTTTCTCTGGGATGGGAGCATCTTTTCCAAGCCTGGGTGGATGACGGCCGTCAGAAGGGCGTTGTGCGTAGGGAGGTCGAGAAGAGCTTTGGGTGTTTTGACTGCCGGGAGGTCCACCTTTCCTCATCGGTGCTGGACTGGAAAACCCAGAGAGGGGCGTACTGGAAGAACCACCGGCTGCTGTCGCACTGCTTGGTGTGGCACCTGCATTTGACGTAGCTCCCGGTTCTGGTCGTTTTGGAAAGTTGATTCCTTTCTTGACATCTGCGACAAGTGCTTCAAGCTTGGATCGATCTCCATCGAAAACAACTTTCCATTCCTCTACAAAATTCGGACGCTTGGCAAAGCCAGGTAGACCGTTCTTACGCCCGTTCTCTTTGTCAAGACACCTCCTGGCTTCGTCATGAGTGGCGAACTTGATATACAGAACACCGAGGCTACCACCTTGGGTGGGATGTTGTTGAGGTTCAAAAGATGCGATCGTGCCATATTGCTGAAAGTGATGTCGTAGTGGACCGTGCCCTGCAAAAGGATTAATACCAGTGATGAGAATGCCCAATGGAGGTGGCGGCCCAGGAGAATTAGAATCGTACTACGCAAGTCTAAGTCAATGAAATAGTAGCAAATCGTTCATTCGCACCTCGTACTTGAGTTCGAACAGTTCTTCTTTATGTGGCCTCAAACTTGGAGGTAGTCTTCCGACCACTTTGTTCTTCCTTGGGTCGCTAACTATTATTTCATCCTCTATCATACCGTCGTCCGGCTGATCGGGGCCAACAACCTCCCCTTCGAACCTCAGCAATACTGCCTTCGATTTCCCCTTTGGCTCTCGAATACGCTCCTGGACAACTTGAGGGCTCCCATGTTTCCTAACATGTTCCACGAGGATGTTCAGATGAGATTGTCGAACTTTGGGATAGGTGGTATTGAACATTTGAGTGGCAAGTGGATGGGGACTAGATAAAAAGTCCGTATTAGGGTCATAAAGAGTGCGGAAGTTACGTTCTTTCGGATATTCAGAAAGCGCAGGAGGCCATGCAGGAAGCGGCGGAAGACTGTAGAGTTTTGGAGGAGGCTCCGGTTCGGATCGTTCCGAGGGGCGGTAACGAGATGATGAAGCGGAGGAGGAGGATGCTTTTGGGTATGAAGAAAGATTTCGTGGAGCAGGTGAAGGAGGCCGTTTGGGTAACGGGAACGGTTTTAGAGGCAAGAAAGAAGGTCTGTGTATTGGAGAAGGAGGACGTCGACTTTCAACAGCCATAGGAGGTGGACGCTGCGTCACGTTCTCGAATACGTTCACTGGCGGAGTAGGGGATGCAGGAGGAGATGCAGGAACAGGTGGCGGCGGAGGCGAATGCTGCCGTGATTCTGGTGGCGAAAGAGGCGGATGCACAAGAACAGGTGAAGGTATTGAATACAATGTTGGAGGCGGTAATGGCGGAGGTAGTGAGCTTGGAGGTAAAGGTGGTGGTGAAGGTGGTGGTGAGTTTGTAGGAGGCGGCGGTGGCGACGATGGCGGGGGTGGTGGAGGTGATTGTGAAGATTCCGAAGGTAATGGCGGATTGGGTGGTGGCGGTTGCGACGGAGGTGGTGGTGGTGGAGGGTCATAAGTTGGAGGCGGAGGTGGTGGTAGAGAATTCAATTCCAGAGTAGAAGTTGACCGATTCTTCGTCTGCAATGAAATATGCACTGCAGGACGATCCTCCTTTAACTCTCCTGTAGGTAGAGATGGTTCTGGAGGCAATATTGGTGAAGAGGGTCTGGAGTCATTGCTGGATAATCCATTACCATTCGGAAAGCCATTTGCAGTAAAATCATCAGAACCGTTTGGCTGAGAGTTGGACGATTGCCAGCTTTGATTGACCTAAAAGTGGTAGTTTCCTAAATCAAAAATTCGCAGACTTTTTCGCTAAATGAAAACATACCGGTTGACTTGAGTTGGTCGTAACATCACGTTTTCTGCCATTTACTATCGAAATTGGAGGTCTATTCGACTGTAATATGTGCGAGCTGGCACCCGGAGGCCCGGGAGTTGGTAGATTTGAATGCCCATTCGCTAATGATTTAGGACCTTGTGGTGGTACTTTTGACTGTGCACCTCCTAGAAGGCTCCTTGGCCCTGTTGGAGGTGTTGCACCAATACGACCACTCGGAAAACGTGGACCCGA